GGTGCTCTGTACTGGACAGGCCTGCCAATGCTTGTCCAGCCCCTAACACTGTTGCAAAAATCATCACTCATTTTGGACAGAATGCATGGCAAAAGCAGCTCATGAAAGGAACAGCTTCTTTTGCTCAGGATTGGAGGGTCCTTTCATCCCGGGAAAGATGTGGAGGCAGAAGGGTGGTCACATTGCACCTGCGGTCAGGAAGCAGAGAGAGTGCCATTACTTAAACCATTTTCTCACATTTATTTATTTATTTATTTTGAGACAGAATTTCTCTGTGTAACCTTGGCTGTCCTGGATCTCACTCTGTAGACCAGTCTGGCCTCTAACTCAGAGATCCGCCTGTCTCTGAGTGCTAGGATTAAAGATGTGCCACCGTCACCACCTAGCATGGTTGCCCTAGGTCCTTATTTGACATGGACTTTGCAAGTTGCTTTCTGGACCTTACTTGGAGGTTTTGTAAATGTAGCCCAACCAGAAGAGCAGATTTTTATTATTACTAATAAAATTATTATTTCATTAAATAAGCACATAGACTGCCTTGTTTTAGAAGGACAAAACTTTTGCACTTAGCCAGTAGAGAATAAGCCTTTGTTAATAGTGTTCTACTTGAACAACCTCTGTTAATGATTATACCATAGACATTTTCTAGCTAGAGTCAGTTGGGGAATCAGAACTTGGGGCTGAGAGTGTAACCCAGTGATAGAATGCTTGCCAGACATACACAGGCCATGAGATCTATCCATAGCATTACCAAGGATACATGTCCAGGAATTTAAATCTAAAGCAAGGTTGTACACCTGTAATACCAGCACTTAGGTGAGGGAGTGGGGGAAGAAGGACAAGGAAATGAAGGTCACCTTTGGCTAGACAGTGAGTTTCAGATTGGCCTGTTTTTGTTTTTTAAAGGAAAGTCCAAGGGCTATGAAGATGGCTCAACATGTAAAAGTTCTTGCTACCAAGAGAGACAAACCGAGTTCATTCTCCAAGTCCCACATGGTAGAAAAGAGAACCCATTCCCAAAAGTTGTCTCCTGACTTCCACATATGTACAATGGCACAGCATACTGACACACCCACACTAAATAAATAAATAAACAAACAATAGTTTTTAAGAGGCTAAGAAATCCAATGAAGATCTGGTCATGGTAACTCATGCCTTTAACTCCATACTATGAAGGCAGAGGCAGGCAGATCTCTGAGTCCGAGGCCAGCCTGGTCTACAGAGTGAGTTCCAGGACAGCCAGAGCAACACAGAGAGACCCAGCCTTGAAAAGCAAAACAAAGTCAATGAAGAAAATAAGAGTGTATTTTCTGCTAGTGTTTCTGTAATTTGATTAGTTTAGATGAATGTGTATTGACAACGTTTTACAAAGTTCAGATGTCAACAGGAATACAAAATGAAGGTAACTTGTCAAATGCAAATGGACTAGACATTATTGATGAACTTATTGCCTGTATATATTCTATATACTTATTATATATAGTTTTTCTTATGTTAGTTATTGTAGGGAGACACTGTAACCACGCCTCCTAAGGGCTGGCTACAGGTGTGCCTGACCATACCTGTCAGGGCGTGGTCAAGGTGAGGTCAGGATGATTCGGGATAGGTTTTTAAGGGACTGCAAGGCACATGGGAACCCCTTTTCTCTGGCCTGTCTGCCTTGCTGTCCCTGGCACACTCTGGCTTGCGTTTGGCTGGTGTTTATCTGAATAAAGATATCTTAACCTTACAGACTACGGATTCGCTCTCGTTATAAGTTATAGCCTTCTTTTGTATTAGACAAAAAGGAGAATTTAGTGATATATCATTACTTTTCTAAAAAATTTATTTATTATGTATACAACATTCTGCTTCCATGTATATCTGCACACCAGAAGAGGGCACCAGATCTCATTACATATGACTGTGAGCCACCATGTGGTTGCTGGGAATTGAACTCAGAACCTCTAGAAGAGCAGTTGGTGCTCTTAACCTCTGAGCCATCTCTCCAGCCCATTATATATTATTTAGATTTATTAAAGCGTATCTGAGGATTCAGAAAGCAAAGTCAGCCCACAAGCCAGAGAAGTCAGGCATACATCTTTAATCCCAGCAGCCAGAAGCTAGGAGGTGGTGGTATACACCTTTTAATCCTAGGACTCAGGATTAAGAGGTAGGCGGATCTTTCTGAGTTCAAAGCTACCCATATCTACACAAGATTGATCCAGTCCTAAAGAGAAACTGCTCACACAAAGATTATCTCAGCACCTGGGATTACACAGCTTTAATTCCAGCATTAGGGAGGTATACAAGACAGGAGCAAGGTCGCAGTATCAGGCATTCATTCTCCAGGCACGCTGAGAATAGAAATACCCCAGCTCTGTTAGAGGTAAGAGTTCTTTGGTAGCTTGGCTGCTTTGCTTCTCTGATCTTCAGCTTGAACCCCAATATCTGTCTCTGGGTCTTTTATTAATTTGTGTTACATGGGTATGTTGTGCAGTCATTTTCATTGAATTTTAGGAAGTCTTTAATTTCTTTATTTCTTCCTTGACCCAGTGGTGGCTTAGTTGAGCATTGTTCAATTTCCATGTGTTTGTAGGCTTTCTGAAATTAGTGTTGCTGTTGAATTCTAAGTTTAAGCTGTGGTGATCTGATAAGATGCATGGGGTTATTCTAATGTTTTTGTACCTGTTCAGGTTTGCTCTGTTACTAAGTATGTGGTCAGTTTTTGAGACGGTTCCATGAGGTGCTGAGGAGAAGGTATACTCTTTTGTGTTCGGGTGGAATGTTCTATAGATATCTATTAAGTCCATTTCAGTCATAATCTGTTAATTAATGTTAATTATTAATTAATTATGTTAATAATTTAACTTATTTCTCTGTTAAATTTCTGTCTGGCAGACCTGTTCAGTGGTGAGAATGGGGTGTTCAAGTCTCCCACAATTAGTGTGTGGAGCTTGATGTGTGATTTAAGCTTTAGTATTGTTTCTTTTACAAATATGGGAGCCCTTGTATTTGGGACATAGATGTTCAGACTTGAGATTTCCTCTTGCTGGATTTTTCCTGTGATGAATATGAAATGACCTTTTTTTTTTTAAATCTCTTTTGGGTGAGTTTGATTTTGATTCTATTTTGTTAGATATTAGAATAGCTACACCAGCTTGTTTCTTAGGACCATTTGGTTGGAAAATCTTTTCCTAACCCTTTACTCTGAGGTAATGTCTGTCTTTGAGGTTGAGACAAGTTTCTTGTATGCAGCAGAAGGATGGATTCTGTTTTCATATCCAGTCTATTAGCCTGTGTCTTTTTATAGGCAAATTGAGTCCATTTATATTAATGGATACTAATGATCAGTGATTGCTAGTTCCTGTTATTTTTGTTTTTGTTGTTGTTGGTGGCAATATGTGTGTGTTTCCCTTCTTTGGGCTTTGTTGCAGTGAGATCATCTGTTGCTTTTTTTTTGTGAATATAGTTGACTTCTTTGGGTTGGGGTTTCCCTTTTAGTACTTTCTGTAGGGCTGAGTTTGTGGAGAGGTATTGTTTAAATCTGGTTTTGTCGTGGAATATCTTGTTTTCTCTATCTATGGTGACTGAAAGTTTTGCTGGGTATACTAGTTTGGGTCGGCATCTGTGGTCTCTTAGTGTCTGCATAATGCCTGTCCAGGACCTTATTTATTATGTATACAGTATTCTGCCTAGAGGAGACTCTGAGACATGGGGAGCTGCCTAGAGGAGACTCTGAGACCCAGGGAGCTGCCTGGAGGAAACTCTGAGGCCTGGGGTGCTGCCTTCAAGTTCTGCAGAGAGTCCTAGGGGTGCAGCTTTCATGAATTGTGACTCATGTTGGGGTTGGCTTTTTGTAATGCAGCTCCCTTTGGGCTGTCTCTTCTCCTGTAAGAAACCTCTCCCCTATAGTGGTGAAAAATCCGTTGGTTCACCAAGTAGGACTTTGGTGTAATCATTATGCTGGTCCATTGTCATTCCCTATTTAGAGTAGACAGGTGTTTATTCTATTCTCCCTAGGAAGGGTGTCACAACAAAAGACACCCTTTTGCTCTGATGTAGGTGGTACTGACCCTTGGGTTTGGGGCAACAAAAAATAAAAAATGAGAAAACCAGAATTCTACATTTCTTCTTTCCCAACTTCCTGTTTTGCTGTGGTGTGAGAAACCTCCTTGGGCCACCTTTGCCCTGAACTTCTGAAACTGGGGCCAAATGAGCCCCACCTCGCATGCTCTTTACAAATCATTTCATCACCTTGATGCAAAAGTGGCTAATACACGAGCCCCTGTGCCCACCCCCTTGAGATTGCTTTGCCCATCCCTCACTTTGGGATTTTCCCAAGTCCTTTTGTTGCCACTCCCTTTTCTGCTTCTGAGCTGTCCTTAGAAACACTCTACACCTTCTCTAAGAGAACCTGCCATTGGCCTGGAGTGCAGCATTAGGCTAGACTGACTGGCCAGTGAGGCCCCAAGATCCTCCAGTGTTTTCCTGCTTATCTTGAGATTACAAGCTTGCACCAATACACTCAACTTTAAAAAAAGATAATTATTAATCTGAAAGTGTTGGCACTCACCTTTAGACCCATTATGAGAGGCAGAGGCAGGCAGATATCTATGAATTCAAGGCCAGCATGATCCACACACTGGACTCCAGGCCAGCCAGAGCTATATGATGAGAACCTATCTCAAAGCATAAATTAAAAAAATTAGTATTATTATTTTGAGTGTGCGTGTATATGTGCAAATTCCATGGCTCCAGTGTGGATGTCAGAGGACAATTTGTGGGAGTTGTTCGAGCCCTTCCACAGGTGGATTCTGGGAATCAAGTCCTCAGGCTTGCATGGCAAGAGCTTTCAACCCACCTAGCCATCTATGACTGTACCCAGCTGTTTGCGTGGGTGCCGGAGATCAGCTCCGGTCCTTGTGTGCAGCTTTACTGATAAGCAATCTTCCCAGCTCCTTAAGATCAAAATTATTAATGCATTTTTCTTTTTCTGTGTGTGTCCTGCCAGCTCCAGATTTCTGTGGCTCCTCATGATTGTAGGACTTGCCATTGTTGTATTTATGTTCAGAAGTGAGTCCCTTCAAGCAATGTTCCACAGCTTCCAGCCAGAGTTCCTGAAGCCTGCACCGCATGTCCCCGCGCTGAAACTTCTCCCTGAGAAGGACCTGAGGAACCTCTTTACCTACGATGGTGTCTGGTGAGGCTCTGGCTGCTCTGGCCTCACTGAAGTCTCCATTGATGTCTTTTCCCCACTCCTCTGAGGGGCCCTAGGCCTAGTGGGCATTTCTGGACAGGTGCTGATTACACAAAGTGACTCTCAGACCGGGTGTGGGCTGTGGGATCCGGTCTCTGTCCTCCACAGCACCCAGAAATCGTACAAACTCATGGGGAAGATGCTGCCTCCTGGCATCTGCCCTGGTGGGACTTCCTGCCAATTGAAGCCTGTGGCTCTTGGATTTAAAGAAGCTAGGTGGAGGGGATAGTTCAAGAGACGGCTGTTGAGCCTGGTGGTGCACTCAGGAGACGAGGTGGGGGTTTGCTATGGGTTTGAGGCCAGTCTGTGCCACATAGACAAGATCTTGTCTCAAAAGGGAAAAGACCTGGGCAGTGGTGGCACACGCCTTTAATCCTAGCACTTGGGAGGCAGAGGCAGGCAGATCTCTGTGAGTTCAAGGCCAGCCTGAGCTACAGAATGAATTCCAGGACAGGCTCCAAGGTTACACAGAGAAACACTGTGTTTAAAAAGAAGGGGGTGGGAAAGAAGAAAGAAAAGAAAGATGAGAGAGTCTTCAGTCCTTACCTTCCTCCTACCTCTCTCTACCTGTCTCTGTGAGGGGTCATTGCTGGGTGGTTCCAGGGTGTCAACTCAATTAGGAGAGCCATGTGGGAAAAGAGGTTTTCAGGGTGAGTGTCACACAAGATTAAGGCTAAGGTCCCCTCCCTCCCATCACATGTTTCTGCTTCTCTTGCTTGTTTTAGGCTCTTTCCCAAAAACCAGTGCGACTGTAACTCCGGCCAACTGCAAAGAAAATACGACTTTCAGGGCGCCTATAACAAGAAGGACCTCCCAGCTGTGACTGCCAGGAGACAGGCAGAATTTGAACACTTCCAGAGGAGGTGCCACAGGCTGTGGGGGCTCTCGGTCTCCTGGGGGAACAAACATGCACTCCAAGTGTTTGAGGGAGTGAGGAACCCTAAGGGAAAAAGTTTGGACCTCGTCCTCCTGAGGTGCCCATGGGAGGAACTGTTGGGAATAAGTAAAGGAAGTCAACAGAGAATAGAGTCCTTCTGGGAAGCTTTGGAGGGTTTTGTGCACATAAAACGTTTCAATAAAACCAATAGAGAAAAAGAAACAGAGAGCTCGGTCCCACTTGCTCAGTCATGATGGTGACACTACGTACCCAGGCCAGCACAGGAGGTGACTTTATATGCTGGGAACATACTGTGTGCCAGCTCTGTGCAAAATGTGTCATTTTTTATCTTTTTTTAAAAAGATTTATTTATTTATCTTGTATACAGTGTTCTGCCTACATATATGCCTGTATGCCGGAAGAGGGAACCAGATCTCATTATAGATGGTTGTGAGCCACCATGTGGTTGCTGGGAATTGAACTCAGGTCCTCTGGAAGAGCAGCCAGTGCTCTTAACCTCTGAGCCATCTCTCCAGCCCTCACTTTTTATCTTTTGACAGCGCTGGAGACTGAACCTAGGGCCTCCTATGAACTAGGCGAGAACTCTACTCCCTGCCCCCAATTCTTTCTCTGTGGTGCTGGGATTCAAACCCAGAGACTCTGCATGTGCTAGGCAAATGCTCTGCCACTGAGCTACAGCCCCAGACTCTCCTTTTCAGTTGCAAGGGGTTGATGCTGAGATTGTTGGTTGAAGAGGGACTGAAATAAGTTCTGGCTGGTTCTTACTGAAGGGGATTTTGTACATGTTGGGCATGGTAGTAGTTAATTGCAATCCCAGAACGTGGGAAGCTAAAGCAGGAAGATTGTAAAGTTAAGGCCAGCCTGGGCTTCCTGGCAAGACCAGTCTCAGACTAGCAAGATGGAGCTGTGACAGCCCCTCTAAAAGTAACTAAAAGCCGAGAGGTTTTGGAGAAATGCTTCCTATGCAGGTCCAGTTGGCTAGAACGTGAACCTTGATTCCTGCTTACGTTGTCTATGATGCTTGTTTTAGGCATAGATATATTCCACTGCAGGAAGCAGACATCCCCTGGTCTGTCAGGGATGAAGATATTCTTTCATCCAGACTTACTTTATGTTTTATTTTATTTTTTTTAAAGATTTATTTATTTATTTTGTGTAGAGTGTTTGGCCTGCATGTATGCCTGCACACCAGAAGAGGGCACCAAATCTCATTACAGATGGTCACGAGCCACCATGTGGTTGCTGGGAATTGAACTCAGGACCTTTGGAAGAGCAGGCAGTGCTCTTAACCGCTGAGCCATCTCTCCAGCCCCTACTTTTTATTTTTTAAGTCATATGTCTGTGTATGAGCAGGTGACAATTTCACTTGTTGTCGATTACGAGGGTGATTTTTAAAACGTGTTTGTTTCGTATACTGACTTTCATGCTTGCTGTCTCCTGAAGAAAAGGGCTGCCCCGCCCACCACCTATACTGGCTCCGCCCAAACTCCCCTTTGGATACCCAGTCCATGGAGTGGAGGTGATGCCCCTGCACACAATTCTCATCCCAGGTAGGTGCGTCTGCATCCTAAGAGGCTTCAGGAAATGCTCTGCTCTTCTTAAGCAAAAGGGGGAAGGCAGTAGAAGCCAGTCGTTCACTGGGTGTTTGCGCACTTGGCAAAATGCAGGGGGCTTAATGGGATTTCATTCTGGCAGACTCCCTAGTTCCACGACCCAAAACCTCTCTTTGCATATGTGGGTTCCCTGTAGCTCTAAGATAATACAAAGGTGGGAATTCTGGGGACCCTTGGGGAACTTTCCCTGTGGTGCTGGGATTCAAACCCAAAGCCTCTGCATGTACTAGGCAAATGCTCTGCCACTGAGCTACAGCCCCAGACTCTCCTTTTCAGTTACAAGGGGTTGATGCTGAGACTTAGGGAATAATTGACTTTCAAAGGTCCTCTAGCATCAAGAGCGAATTGATGAACCATTTCCAGAGAGGGTGTTTTGAAAAGAATGCTGTATCAGTTCAACTCCCTTCTAGGACAGGAAGAGTAAGTGACTCGGCAAGTAAAGGTTCTGGTACCAGGGTTGACACCTGAGGTCTAATCTCAGGACTCACATGGTAGAAAGCCACGTTCCTCAGGCTCTTTAACCATCCCACACAAGCCGTGGCATGCATGTACCTCACCACCCCCACCCCGCACACTCCATATGCATAACATAAAAAACTTAAAATACGTCCATATGTCGCGATGGGGGTACATGCCTTTAATCCTAGTACTCGGGAGGCAGAGGCAGTCAGATCTCTGTGAGTTTGAGGCCAGAGGGAGTGCCAGGATAGGCTCCAAAGCTACACAGAAACTCTGTCTCGAAAAGCCAAAAAAAAAAACAAAAAAAAACCTTAAAATATAAATTAAAATAACAATAACAATTCAATTCCTTTCTAAGCTCAGTGTGGCAGCACACACCAGTAATCACACAGCAGTCAGGAGACTGAGGCAAGAGGATTAGGAATTCAAGGCCAGCTTCAGCTACACACACACCCCACCCCCCAATTTCAAACATTCCAAATTAAAGCAAATAAAACAATAAAGCACAAAATGCCCTTCACAGGATCTTTTTGAATCACCCATCTTGAGCGTCACCTGCTTTTTCAAGTGTGGCAGTGACAGGAGAGACTGCAGGCATTTTCCCCACAGAAGTGGTGGGTGGACTCTGGACCATCTTATGGATCATCCCCTGCTATGGGCTCTTGGCATCTAGAAGCAAACAGCCCCCACCATGAGCCATGGAAAAGACCTGAGTTTAGCTGGTGATAGTGGCACATGGGATTCAGCAAGTGTCCATGAGCAAGATCCAAATTATCCAAACTCACTGCTAATGGGTGTGATGAGAGTGAGTGTCCGGGATAGACGGTGAGCAGGTACCAGATCTGTGGCCGAGCCTTCCACAGGGAGCAAGGGGAGGGAGAAGCAGCCTCCTTGGTCCAGTGGCAGCTAAACCTTGTTGGGAGTCACACAGCTTCGTCTCAAACCAGCACATGACCTGTCCAGTGGGTTTTCTCAGGGCAAGGGACCTGTGGAAATGATCTCTCACTTGGAAAAGACCAGTAGTCCATGGGACAGGGTAGGAATTTGCAAAAGTCATGCAGCTTGCAGGCTCTTTTTTTCTTTCATTATATTGGTGATTCTCTAGGTGGTTTTTAGTTTTACTGTCAGTCACTCACGCACCAGCTGTACTTTCCTCTGGGAATTCCGTTCCTTTTCAAATATTTTCCCCTAAGATTCAGCAGGGGGTTAATGCTTCTTAAATCTCCTATCTGGAATTACTAACTGCAACTCCTAATCCTGGTACTTTTCTGACTCATTGGAGAAGTTAGGTACAGATGAGAAAACAACACTTGGAACATTAGCTGTTCTCACAGCTCTGGAAAGGAGAGTAGGGCACCCATACACAGAATAGGGAAAAGGCCTTAGGAATACACGGAGTGCCAGCTGAAGAGAGTAAGTTCCCTGGACAACAATCATATAGAGACAATGATAAGATCTAGTGTATTCTGATGGAAAAATGCAATGGGAAATATGGGCTGTATAGATCCGTCTTTACCATACTTAGGAGCTTATCCTGGTGGGGAAAATATGATATAGTAAGATGGGGAAAAAGAGTGCTTTCTCAAAACCTGCCTTTTACAGAGAGATTGAGGCATGGGACCCTCTTATAGAAAAGGGAACTGTATAAAGCTTGTCTTGCAGACATGAAAGAATTGTCTGGGTTTGAATATCATTGTTTTTAAAGCATTGTGCCCATGTCTATTATTTTAACTTTGTAGCCACAAATAGCTGCCAGCTGACATGAACCCTGCAAGGGCAGGATGCCTGGCTTGATATTTAGTTAAGCCTGCACAGATGCTGAACTCATTGTCTCGAACAAGGTCACGCAGGGGGTGGGAAGGTGTATTGGGGAAGCATAAAGGGGAGCAATGGGAGTTTTCATAATGATCACGATGTATTCTTAAATTGTGATGTATTTCTTAAAGTCAAAAATAGAAGCCAATAATAAAACTGTTCAAGTAACCCTGGTAAGAAAAACTCTGTTTAAGTATAAATAAAGATGGCCTGGGCTATTCGGAGCCACTTGAGTGCAATCTACTCGGTGTTCAGAAGTTTTCCTTGCTCGGAGGCCCCTTCCTGGCCTCAGGACCTGAACCCAAGCAGAGGCTGGGCCAGTCAAAACTCCCTTTTCTTACCTCTCCTCTTGCCAGCCTTCCTTTCAAGCTGAAGTTACACTTAATTATATCTTGTGAAATAACTAATAGATTTTGCATGGAGGGAGAGCACTGTTGATTGAACCCAAGGCTTTAGACAGGTGTTGTACCTATGAGTTATACCCTGAACCCTGATGTTTCTGAGTAGCCATTTAAAAATTATTTTACATTTTGGATAACTCATTTATTTTAAAAAAAATAACACCCATTTATTTGATTTTTTGTTTATCTAAAAATATTTATGCATCTATGTATGTCCGTGTGAGTATATAGTACATGAATTCATGCAGTTGTGTATGGAGTCCAGGTGCCCTCTGTCATCTCCGCCTTTTCCTTTTGAGGCAGGTTTTCTGGAGCTCATAATTCTCTACTAGACTGGAAGTCAGCAAGTCCCAGCAATCCTCCCGTCTCTGCATCCCTCAGCTCTAGAGGATAATAGGCATGTGTAGGATTGATATTCAGCTGGGACGTGAACTCAGGTCCTTATGATTGTGTAGCAAGCACTCTTAACTGCTGAGCCATCTTGATGGCCTGCTTCTTGTGTGCTTTTTATTTTTAATGAGATAATATTAAATTAATCTACTTGGTCGTTTCAAGTAGTACCATCACAAAGAACTTGAAAACCTTGGAGGGTGTCGTTGGTGTTTGCTTTGTCTTTTTCCTGTTACTCAGATAAAATATCCTGACCAGCCAGGAGGGGATTGTGCACATTTTTGATCTCAGCACTTGGAAGGTAGAGGCAGGGGGATTTCTGTGAGTTTGAGGCCAGTCTGGTCTACAGAGTGAGTCCCAGGACAGCCAGGACTACACAGAGAAATCCTGTCTCAAAAAACCAAAACCAAACCAACCAAAAGCCCTGCACATACATACATGTAGGCAAAATACGCTCATACATATAAAATTTAAAAAATTAATGAAAAATTAAAAATACATAAATATGATTTAATGAGGTTTTGGCCTCCAAATCCACACGTCACTATGTAAACCTATGGCCTTGAACTCCTGACCCACCTTCCTCTACTACCTGAGTACTGGGAATACTTGCATGCACGACCATGCCCCGGGTTATGGCACTGTGCATGCTAGGAAAGTACTCTACCTGCAATGCACACTATACACACACACTGAAATGTTATATCCATTCACCACTAACTCCCTTGTCTTAGTTTATTTCCCTGTTGCTTCGATCAAACACCCGACAAAAGAAATTCAGAGAAAGGTTTATTTTTACCTAATAGTTCCAGTTTACAGTCTGTCATGGTGGGGAAATCAAGGCATCAGGAACTTGAAGCAGCTAGTCACAGTATGTGTGCGGCCAGTCAGTAGAAATGGGCAAGGGGCGCATGCATGTTAGGGGTGTTCATCCTACTCTATCCATTCACACAGTACAGAATCCCCTGCCTAGGGAATGGTGTTGCCCACAGTGGGTGGGTCTTCTCGTCACCTCACAGACACGCCCAGATGCCTTTCTCCCAGGTGATTCTAGGTCTGTCAGGTGGATAGTTAGCATTAGCCACCTCCTAGCAAGCTGTACTTGTATTTCTGAGAGTGCGGCTATTCCCAGATTCACCTAAGGGCCATTCAATGTCTCCGTTGTTGCTTTCCCTTCAGTAACAGGACCATCTGGAAGGGGTTGTGTAAGTTCACAGAACCCAAAGCTGAGTGTGAGCACTAGAAGTCTTTGACCCATGTGTGCTTGAGACCATAGAGCCATCTCACAGCCCTAGGAATGGGGACTGTGACTGTGTAGGCCAACTGGTAGAAAATGACGCTTGGTGAGCTCTCCAGATATGTAGACTCGAAGATAGGGAAGTGTATTAGGGAGCGTCAGTGTCCTCTCAGACAATTTTTCTGTCTCTCCTGTGTCTTGTAGGTCTCCAGTATGAAGGGCCGTATGCCCCAGTCTATGAGGTAAGAGTCCCCATCCTGGCATTTTTGACACTGCCTTATAGCTATGGCTAATCGCAGCCTTCAACCAAGCCTTATCGCTTATCCAGCTGAAACACCCGATGAACACAAAGTGGGACAAGGGGGCATTGCACAGGGATGTTGTAGTCTTACAGTGGCTGCAGGGAGGACTTGCAAAGCTACACAAAGCTCAAAGCCACCACTGTGTTTGTTTTTGCTTTTGGAGGAAGCTGCTGCCACGTTCCTGGCTGCTACCTGTGTGGCCTATGACAATAGTGCAGGATGCCCCTCTCAGCATAGCTCTGGGTTGAGGTCTCAGGACCAGATATGTGCTGGGTGATGGATAATCTCATCCAGAACCTGCAAAAGGGCCCTGGGAACTGAAGCTTGGAGTGTGTGTGCGGATGGACATTGTTGTCTTCCACTGTGGTCTCTATCCATTCCCTTGAGACACTGGGGAGCTCACTGTTCTTTAGCTGGACTGATGGCCAGCAAGCCCCATGAGCCTCCTGTCTGTCACCCATCTTCTTCCATTTCTGGGGTTGCCTGACTTTTTTATGTGGGAACTGGGAACTCAAATTCAGGTGCTGACACTTATCCAGCAAGCGTTCTTACCCACTGTGCTATCTCAGCTGAGCAGTGAGATCTGCATTCTCCACCCCAACAGACTGAGCGGAGAGGACAGTAGGTTTGAATGAGGAGCAGCTCCCCAGAGGCCTCCTCCATTCCCCACACAAGCCCTCCCATCCCGTCCCTGCCATTTTTCTCATAACTGATTTCTCATTACTCATAATCCAGGTCCTTACACATTCAGGGTAAACACACTACCACTGAGCCATGCTTTTAGCCCCTTCCATTATGGGCTTGTCCGTGCCTGATTGTGGTGTGGGCATGAGTGCATGCATCGTATCCTCATGGCCTATGGACTTGCTTCTCAGAGAGTTCTCTGTTGATTAGCTGGAGTTTTCAGCAGGGATGCCATAACCTAGCCGGTGTCCCATAAAGATGCCTGCCTGTTTCAGAAGATTGGAGAAGCCGGGCATTGGTGGTGCACGCCTTTAATCCCAGCACTCGGGAGGCAGAGGCAGGCGGATCTCTATGAGTTCAAGGCCAGTCCACTCAGAGCGAGTGCCAGGATAGGCTCCAAAGCTACACAGAGAAACCCTGTCTCGAAAAATTAAAACAAAAAACAAACAAACAAAAAAACCAAAACCAAAAACAAAACAGAAGATCTGAGAAACGAATGTAGTCTTTAGAATTGTGGGGATGGGCAGAAGCTTGCTTCCTGCTGCAGCTTCAGGTAGAATTATGTGCAGGACTTGCTCCCAGGTGGGCTGCAGGTGGGAGGAGTGTAGCAGAGCAAGAATGGTCA